GAGAGAGAGAGAGAGAGAGAGAGAGAGAGAGAGAGAGAGAGAGAGAGTAGAAGACCTTATACCCGTGATGGCGAACCTGCGGCATGCAGAGCCATTTGTGCCGGCACGCAAGCCACAGGCAAACTTACCTCACAGCCGATTTTCCCCTCTCCTCTTTGGGGCAGCCCCTCAAATACTGGAAGGCTGCTGTCATGTCCCCCTTAGTCCTTCTTTTCTCTAAGACTGGCCAAACCCAAATCCTGTAACCATTCTTCACATGTTTAATCTCCAGGCCTTTGATCATCTTTGTTGCTCTTCTCTGAACTTTCCCCAAAGTCTCAACACCTCTTTTTTTTTTAAGCTTGGCCTTGATGCCTTAAGATCTCACCCCACTGGCATCTTCAGCTTGGCAGATTAATTCAACCCTGTTAGGAATTGATAGTCACCTAACAGTTGGGTTGGAAATATATAAACCAAGATAGACATTTAATACTGTCTTTTTAAGGGAATGATACAATTGTAATTGGATGTGGTTCCTCAAACGGCCATAAGATGGAGCCAGAAACCTGGGTTGTTTAGTCCTGTTGTTGCTAGTTGGTCGATGTTCTGATGTTCGCCGTTTTTGGTTCCTGAATTTTTCCCTATTTACTGTTGCTGATCGTCGTTCTTTTTGGATTGCTGTAAGTCTGTTACTGAACTGTTTATGATACTGGGACTTTGATATTTGGATTATCCCTGGACTGAAAAACTGACTGCTTTAACCGTGCATGACTTGGACTGCTTGTTGGACTTTGCTTAACCGTTTACTGGAAGTAAAAACCTACATTTTACTATACAGTGTGTCTGTGTGCTGTTTGTGTGTTATTCCTCACCACTCTCACTATGTCTCCCTGTGTGCGCTCATTCTCCTAACAAGGAATTACCTCAACCCCCCCCCCCCACCCCCCCGGAGATGTTTCTCATAGACCCCGCAGGCAGAGTTTTAATTTCCTGGGCATTGTCGCCTCTTGGCGAAAACAGGATATTAAACTAGCCCTTGAGAGATGCAGAGAGGAAATGAAGAGAGGCGGGAAAGTGAAGGGGGGAGGGAGAGAGGGAGGGAGGGTGACCAGCCTGGGTGCGAGATCCGGCAGAGCCTTACCCATCACTCGGGCTTGCACCACGACTTTGATGCTGGCACTATGGTTGCTCTCGCTGCAAAGGACCATTTCTTCGTGGAGAACCCCTTCTTTATGGGCCACGTATTCGCACCTCACCCTGTAGCCTGGGAGAAAAAGAAAGCGGGAGACCCATCAAAGGACACCCCAAGAAGAAGTGGGGTGGGGGTGGGGACTTGGAGAGGCAGGAGTTGCAAAATGCCACCCCCCCACACACACACCCTCCAGTCTTTGAAAGGAGAAAGAGATGCACAAGAAGGAGGGGAAAGACCAGATGAAGGTTCCATTAAATGGATTTATTGCTAAAAGCCTCTGCACAGGAATCTTCTCGACTAACATTAACACGTGATAAGAATTAGATGAGGGTCCACAGAATTCAAGGGGGGGGGGGGGGTTGGACTTAAGTTTGCTTGTGGCTTCGCAAGGATTATAGGCTGATCTCTCCTTTGACTCCAACGCCTACATTCTGCCATCTCTTGTCCTACACATCTCCTTCCTCTCCTTCCCTAACTTTTCTTCCCTCCCTCTCCTCTCCTCTCCCTCCCTCCTTCCTATTCCTTCCCTCCCTCCTTTCCCTCCTATCCCTTCCTTTCCTTTCCTTCCTTCTCATCTCATTCCTTCCCTCCCTTTCCCTTTCCCTATTCCTTCCTTTTCCTTTCTTCCCTCTTTCCTTCCTTCTCTCCTCTCATTCCTTCCTTCCCTCCCTCCTTTCCCTCCTATTCCTTCCTTTCTTCCCTCTGTCCTTCCTTCCTCTCATTCCTTCCCTCCCTCCCTCTCTTTCCCTTCTATTCCTTCTTTCCTTCCTATTCCTTCCTTCCTTCCTCCCTCCCTCCCTTCCTTCTTTCCTTCCTATTCCTTCCTTCCCTCTTTCCTTCTAAAAGGATGCAAATGACCAGCTGTCTGCAAGGAGTATCAATCCTCCCATTCCCCTCCATCCAGCCAGAGCTGAAGAAGCTTCTGGGATGAGAAGGGAAACGTCTTCAAAGAAAAACAAGAACACCCAGTTGCATCATGAAAAAAAAGCACCTCTGGGGTAGCCACGAGATCTTACCTTCAGATATGGGCGCGATGTCAGTCACCTTAAGATGCAGGTTTGACAGGGGTGCTGGGCAAATGTCCGTTCCCAGGACCTGCACGAAAGGCAGGACGAAGGTGATTTCGTACTTGTGCATGATCTTGAGGAAGCCAACCTGAGCAAAGGGAGAAGCAAAGTCAGGTCCAAGGCCCAGAGGCGCCAAACGAACGCCATTGGAAAGGCAAACGTTAAAGAGACCCTTCGAAGTCACAGCGGCATGGGAAGAAAGGGGGCTTAGGACCATGTTTCACACTTACGACCGTTGCAGCATCGCCGTGGTTCACGTGATCAAAGTCCAGACTTGTCTGGCTCAACCTGGTTCCAAGAGAGCAAACACGAAACAAAGGCAGCAGCCCCCACCTTCTAAGGTTTAATCCACGAATTCTGCTTCTTCACAGATTAAAGGCTGCTTCCAACTAATTAGCTCTGACAAGAAAGAGCCTTGCCAAATTGTTCTTCAAGGCTGCCAAAAACCCACAGATAAGAAATTGTCTGCAACAGTTTTCAAATACTAACTATAATGTCCACGAGGCTGAGTTTCAGAGCGTCTTTGCCTTCTGCAAAGGATGCTTCTTCAAACCTGGCTTTTATCTTCTTGAGGGAGGGGCCATTACCTTGCAGCCTTACTCCCGAGTTGCCCGTGCTTGCGCACGCACTTGGCACAGGCTCCTCAGGAACCTCCTCATCGCCGCTGCCAGCCCCCACAATCTCTGGAGGCAGCAGTCTACTCCCTAATGGCCCTGGCCCCTCATCTGAGTCCTCGCTCTCCTCAGCCGTCCGCACCTGCTGCCGGCTAACCACAACACAGACACTCGGCAACTGGCTCATATTTATGACGGCTGCAGAGCCTCAGGGTCACACGATCCCCTTTTGCGACCTTCGGACGAACAAAGTCAACGAGGGAAGTCAGATTCACTTAACAACCGTGTTCTTAAAGTGGCAGTGATTCACTTAACAAGGGTGGCAAGAAAGGTCGTAACATGGGACGAAACTCAGCTTAACAGCTCTCTTGCTCAGCAGCAGAAACTTGGGG